ATGTGTCTACAGACTTTTACGTTTTGAAATGAGATAGCAGCAATAGCATAAAAAATGGAGAGAGGTAGGTGCCCTCATTTAGCCTAAATCCCACCTTGGGCACACTGCATTCAGAACTAAATCACTTACAAAGTCTCATTATAAGGTTGCAAGAACTTGTACTTACCCTAATTCTTATATACTCACCTACCATTTGACCTATAACTGCATCTGTGGCAGCAAATTAATTTCCATAAATAAGCCTACATCATATTAACTCTTCATCCCATTTTTTTTATAAGGTATCTGGCCTTGTTTGATGGAAAGTGAAAATGTATACTGTGCAAATGTATGAGCTTCATATTTGTACTATTTACCGTATTTATTTTTTGTGAATAATGATGTAATATACTGTTAACCTTTTCATTATAAAAAATATTTTCATTTCCATTCATTATCAGAGATGTTGGAATTGCCTTAGGTTATTCATTAATTTTATATATTATTTTTTTTATTAACACATTGGCAGGGTGGCCCGAAAAAGTAAAACTTTCGTCATCATTCACTCCACAACTGTCTTGCCAGAGGTGTGCTTATATTACACTTATAAAACTGCAACATTAACACTTCTCCTTCAGAGTGCAAACACTGTACTGTACTTCCCATCTCCAGGACTCAAGTGCAGCCTGCTGGTTTCCCTGAATCCCTTCATATATGTTACCTTGCTCACACTCCAACAGCACGTCAAGTCCTAAAAACCATTTGTCTCCATTCACCCCTATCACACACGCTCACACATGCTTGCTGGAAATCCAAGCTCCTTGCACGCAAAACCTCCTTTACCCTCTCCCTTCAACCTTTCCTAGGCCGACCCCTACCCCACCTTCCCTCCACTACAGATTTATACACTCTCGAAGTCATTCTATTTTGTTCCATTCGCCACATGTCGAAATCATTCTGTTTTGTTCCATTCTCTCTACATGTCCGAACCACCTCAACAGCCCCTCCTCAGCCCTCTCGATAATAGTTTTGGTAATCCCGCACCTCCTCCTAATTTCCAAACTACAAATTCTCTGCATTATATTCACACCACACTTTGCCCTCAGACATGACATCTCCACTGCCTCCAGCCTTCTCCTTGTTACAACATTCACCACCCATGCATCACACCCATATAAGAGTGTTGGTATAACTATACGTACTCTCATACATTCCCCTCTTTGCTTACATGGACAAAGTTCTTTGTCTCCACAGACTCCTAAGTGCACCACTCACCTTTTTCCCCTCATCAATTCTATGATTCACCTCATCCTTCATAGATCCATCTGCTGACACGTCCACTCCTAAATATCTGAATACATTCACCTCCTCCATACTCTCCCCCTCCAATCTGATATCAGATCTTTCATCACCTAATTTTTTTGTAATCTTCATCACCTTACTCTTTCTTATATTCACTTTTAATTTTCTTCTTTTACATACCCTACCAAACTCATGAGTTTGAGAATGTGTGTAAAGGTAAAAAGTTGAAAGTGAACATAGAAAAGAGTAAGGTGATGAGGGTATCAAATGATTTAGATAAAGAAAAATTGGATATCAAATTGGGGAGGAGGAGTATGGAAGAAGTGAATGTTTTCAGATACTTGGGAGTTGACGTGTCGGCGGATGGATTTATGAAGGATGAGGTTAATCATAGAATTGATGGCGGAAAAAAGGTGAGTGGTGCGTTGAGGTATATGTGGAGGCAAAGAAGGGAATGTATGAAAGTATAGTAGTACCAACACTCTTATATGGATGTGAAGCTTGGGTGGTAAATGCAGCAGCGAGGAGACGGTTGGAGACAGTGGAGATGTCCTGTCTAAGGGCAATGTGTGGTGTAAATATTATGCAGAAAATTCGGAGTGTGGAAATTAGGAGAAGGTGTGGAGTTAATAAAAGCATTAGTCAGAGGGCAGAAGAGGGGTTGTTGAGGTGGTTTGGTCATTTAGAGAGAATGTATCAAAGTAGAATGACATGGAAAGCATATAAATCTATAGGGGAAGGAAAGAGGGGTAGGGGTCGTCCTCAAAAGGGTTGGAAAGAGGGGGTAAAGGAGGTTTTGTGGGTGAGGGGCTTGGACTTCCAGCAAGCGTGCATGAGCGTGTTAGATAGGAGTGAATGGAGACGAATGATACTTGGGACCTGACGATCTGTTGGAGTGTGAGCAGGGTAATATTTAGTGAAGGGATTCAGGGAAACCGGTTATTTTCATATAGTCGGACTGAGTCCTGGAAATGGGAAGTACAATGCCTGCACTTTAAAGGAGGGGTTTGGGATATTGGCAGTTTGGAGGGATATGTTGTGTATCTCTATACGTATATGCTTCTAAGCTGTTGTATTCTGAGCACCTCTGCAAAAGCAGTGATAATGTGTGAGTGTGGTGAAAGTGTTGAATGATGATGAAAGTATTTTCTTTTTGGGGATTTTCTTTCTTTTTTTGGGTCACCCTGCCTCGGTGGGAGACGACCGACTTGTTGAAAAAAAAAAAAAAAAAAACCAAACTCATCCACTAACCTCTGTAACTTCTCTTCAGAATCTCCCAAAAGCATAGTGTCATCAGCAAAGAGCAACTGTAACGACTCCCACTTTGTGTTAGATTCCTCATCTTTTAACCCCACACCTCTTGCCAACACCTGAGCATTCACTTCTCTTACAACCCCATCTATAAATATATTGAACAACATGGTGACATCACACATCCTTGTCTAAGGCCTACTTTTACTGGGAAATAATCTCCCTTCTCCTATATACTCTAATGTGAGCCTCACTATCCTTGTAAAAAACTTCATTGCTTTCAGTAACCTACCTCCTATTCCATTTGCAACATCTGCCACATTGGCCCCCTATCCACCCATCATACACCTTTTCCAAATTCACAAATGCCACACAAACCTCTTTACGCTTATCTTAATACTGTTCACCTATATGTTTCACTGTAAACACTTGGTCTATACACCCCCTGCCTTTCCTAAAGTATCTTTGTTCATCTGCTATCGTACTCTCCGTCTTACTCTTAATTCTTTCATTTTTTTTTTTAACAAGTTGGCCGTCTCCCACCGAGGCAGGGTGACCCAGAAAGAAAGAAAATCCCCAAAAAAGAAAATACTTTCATCATCATTCAACACTTTCACCTCACTCACACATAATCACTGTTTTTGCAGAGGTGCTCAGAACACAACATTTTAGAAGCATATACGTATAAAGATACACAACATATTTCTCCAAACTGCCAATATCCCGAACCCCTCCTTTAGAGTGCAAGCATTGTACTTCCCATTTCCAGGACTCAAGTCCGGCTATATAAAAATAACCAGTTTCCTTGAACCCCTTCGCTAAATATTACCCTGTTCACACTCCAACAGCTCGTCAGGTCCCAAATACCATTCTTCTCCATTCACTCCTATCGAACACGCTCACGCACGCCTGCTGGAAGTCCAAGCCCCTCGCCCACAAAGCCTCCCTTACCCCTTCCTTCCAACCTTTTTGAGGGCGACCCCTACCCTGCCTTCCTTCCCCTACAGATTTATATGCTCTCCATGTCATTCTACTTTGATCCATTTTCTAAATGACCACACCACCTCAACAACCCCTCTTCGGCCCTCTGACTAATACTTTTATTAACTCCACACCTTCTCCTAGTTTCCACACTCCGAATTTTCTGCATAATATTTACACCACACCCTTAGACAGGACATCTCCACTGCCTCCAGCATCCTCCTCGATGCTGCATTTACAACCCAAGCTTCACACCCATATAAGAGTGTTGGTACTACTATACTTTCATTGTCTTCATTATCTCTCATAATGGTACTTTCATTGTCTTCATTATCTCTCACAATGGTAGCTGCTAATGGCAAAAGAGGTTTACTTGAAATGCATTGGAATGATTTTTATAGCAACATTGTTAGGCAAAATTTATTTGTCCATTCTTGCTCATGATCACCAACACAAGGATTGAACTTGTTAAGTTGATCACACTCTCTGGAGATAGACTGAGTGCACAGAACATGCACTAGTGATGACTGTCTTGTTAGGTTGATGACTTTTAGAGGTGTAGTGGATTAAGGTTTTAATACAGAGAACATGGGACAAGGATGGAAGGGAGTTAGTGAGTTAGTTTAATGGGATAAAGAGGAAGATAAAAGTATCTGCTTTATCAAAATACTGTACTCAGATGTAAAAGTGGTACAGGTGGTTGAAGGTTAAACTGTTGTAGTGGGCTCTGTTCAAGCTACAGTAGTACAGTATAAGAATGTTTTAAACTGTTTAATGGGGTAGTCTAATAGTGACTGCATCTGGTTTCTTGCTAGCATATCTGCTATGAAATATAGTTAATTTATTATAGTATATAGTAAATCATGCAGTCTAGAGTTGAACACTAGAAGCATTGAAGTGGGATGAAAACCATGCTACGTTGTCTCAGGGACTCAACAAACAGTAGCTGGAACATTTCTTTTGCCTAACCTGCTACTTAGCATACCACAAGTGTGACACCTGCCCTTCTTGGTTTTTCTCTTCTCTCAAATTCACTTGTATTTTTTTTTTTTTTACCATTTATCATCTGCTTCTTTCACCTATGCATTCCACCAAAGCATACCACCATAACTTTCACTTCTCGGTCTTACAAGTCACAGTATTTCACTTTAAGACTGGTATTCATTTAGTTAATCACTTTTAAAACCTCGTATGTCGCTAGAGTTTAAAATATTTATTTTAAATTAATTTTTATTAAAGTGACTGTGCCATCTTACTAAATTTAATATGTATCTCTTCACTAAATTTTCAGTGAAAGGAGAATCTGAATTTATGTTATTTACTGCTCAAAGAGATTTGCGTATATAAAGTACCTTTTTTAGATCATGGCACTCTTCTTCACTGATGTAATAATTAGGATGAATACACTATATAGCTGTTGTATAGAAAGTTATGATTTTTTTTTATAGTTTACAAGCTTTTTTTTTATACCTTTCTGCTATTGCCAGGAATTAGTGGACTCCCTTGTTAATGGTAACGTAGATCCATCTGTGAAACGGCAGAGGGTGGATGGTACCCCATCATGGCTCACTCACTTGACAGGATCAACTGAGCCTGTTACAGTCAAGCTATTGTGTGGTGCTGATCTCCTAGAATCCTTTGCTAAACCAGGCCTCTGGAAGGATGAAGATGTAAGTGTGTGTGTTGGAGATTTATTTTAATGGGTGTTTTCATTTTTGAGATCATAACAAGGGACTTCCCCAGGAGACTATTATGGTTCCTATACATTTCTGCATTGATTAGCTCTACCATATAATCTTTACTCCAGTTTTGCACCAACATTAACATTGCAACCTAACTTAAACTTGTTAGAAATGATGAAATACAATGCTGTTAACTTAAACCCACCTGCAACCTATCAAAGCTTAGCCTAACTTTAATCTGTATTATTATTTATTGAAAGTGAATATAGATAAGAGTAAGGTGGTGAGGGTATCAAACTATTTAGATAAAGAAAAATTTGATATCACATTGGAGGGAGGGAGTATGGAAGAAGTGAATGTTTTCAGATATTGGGAGTTGACTTGTCAGCAGATGGGTTTATGAAGGATGAGGTAAACCATAGAATTGATGAAGGGAAAAAAGGTGAGTGGTGCATTGAGGTATCTGTGGAGACAACGTTATCCATGGAGGCAAAAAAGGGAATGTACAAGAGTACGTATAGTGGTACCAACACTCTTGTATGGGTGTGAAGCTTGGGCTGTAAATGCTGCAGTATGGAGGAGGCTGGAGGCAGCGGAGATGTCATTTCTAAGGGCAATGTATGGTGTAAATATTACACAGAGAATTTGTAGTGTGGAAATTAGGAGGTGTGGAGTTACTAAAAGTATTAGTCAGAGGACTGAAGAAGGGTTGTTGAGGTGGTTTGGTCATTTAGAGAAAATGGAACAAGTTAGAATGACTTGGAGAATGTATAAATCTATTGGGGAAGGAAAGTGGGGTAGGGGTCATCCCCAAAAAGGTTGGAGGGAGGGGGTAAAGGAGGTTTTGTGGGCTAGGGGCTTGGACTTCCAGCAAGTGTGCGTGAGCATGTTAAATAGGAGTGAATGGAGACGAATGGTTTTTCGAACCTGATGAGTTGTTGGAGTGTGAGCAGGATAATATGTTGTGAAGGGATTCAGGGAAACTGGTTAGCCAGACTTAAGTCCTGGAAATGGGAAGTACAATGCCTGCACTTTAAAGGAGGGGTTTGGGATATTGGCAATTTGGAGGGACGTCTAAACTGTCGTATCTGAGCGCCTCTGCAAAGACAGTGATTATGTATGAGTGATGGTGAAAGTGTTGAATGATGAAAGATTGTTTCTTTCTTTTTGGGTTTTTCTTTCTTGTTGGGTCACCCTGCCTTGGTGGGAAATGGCTGACGTGTTAAAAAAAATACTGTACTGTATACCTGCATTTAGGTTGTGGCATTTTAACTGATTTTTGCAAGGTGGGACATAGCTGGTGTGTTAAAAAAATGTATGAATGTCTGGTTTGGTAAAATAATCATTGCTGAATATACCAACACAGCAAGTTTGGGTATAAAGCACAGCCAGTCAACGTCTAAACAATTTAGACTAGTTCACAAAAGTTTTTGTGTTACACATGAGAGTTACACTTGGATTATAGGAAGTGTTTTACATTTCTGTAGTTGACTTATCATACAGTAAATAGTTAACAGCTCTAAACCTTTTTTGAATATAGACAGTACACCTGCACATTATTTAGTACAATATCTTTGCTGCTTTATGCCTTTCACATTAAATATTTTTATACTTCTAATATCACATAACTTTGACTTTTGTCTCTTTAAAAAATTAATATATATATTCCTTCTTTCAGATTGAAGCATTGGTTGGAAAATTTGGTCTTGTTGTTATCACCCGGGAAGGAAGCAATCCATATAAATTTATCTACGAGTCGGATGTTTTGACACGACACCAGGTAATTACCTATTAACTTACTTGTTGCTATGGGAGTCAGACTGCATTTATAGTGTCCCATCTACAGTATTTACTCTGTAAAATTATTGTTTTAAATCAACACATTAAATTGTTCTTCAGTTATAACAAAGAACTTTCAAATACTGCTTCAGCACCTCTCTTTTTTTTTTCTCATTTTACAACTGTGGCCATTTTTCTCTGTGTTATGTTACAGTGGTACCTTGACTTATGAGTTTAATTTGTTCCATGACCTAGCTCGTAACTCTATTTGCTCGTATATCAGATCAATTTTCCTCATTGAAATTAATTGAAATGCCATTAATCTATTCCAGCAAAATTCCTGGCTCTCGGGAGGCAGGAGAAAAAACTTCAATATAACGCTAATATCAACTCTGCGGCTTATTTATCTATCACAATTGTTCTAATATGACATAACAAACAATATAAATAATATAGAAGCATGATATATACTTCCATACTTTCCCTTCTGAGGTCTTATTATCAGAGAAAACAGAGTGTTTGTGAGGCTACCTGCACTAGATCACTAGTTTCATAAGAAAACACTGAAACAGTGTTCAGTATGTGTATTTATAAATAAGAAATATTGTATAAAAACATCATAGAGAATGTAAAGAAATAAACTGGTTTTATAAAGTGTACATACTTGCCTTGGAGAACAGATACTGGCAGAGGTGGAGGGTGGAAAAGATAGGCAGAGGAGATTGGAGGAGTTTGTTTTATTTTGTGTTTTTTCTATCGTTTAATCGCTGAACTTACTTGCTACAATTTGTTTTTTATTTTTTTTCACTTCATTGGAGGAGTTAGTTTTGTTTCGTGCTTTTTCTGTCGTCTACCATATCAACAGCAGCTTCTCCATCTTTTCATGGGCAGAGGTCCACAGCTTAGAAATTACTGTAATGCCCTTGGCCGGTGTTATAGCCTATTTTGACTCCTGCTTTAGTATGGTACGTATCATAGAGGTACGTACTACACTGGTACTGCCTCACTAACTCCACTACCTAGCTCGTGTTTCTCTATGATTTCATGCTTTAATTCATTGGACGTCATCCTCTTCTTCTCAGCACTGTCCTTTACACTTACTTTTTTAGGACCCATGGTTAGAAAATAGGAAATTGGGAAAATAACTGCACAGAATGCAAGCACAACACAAGAGAGATGTTTCCATGGCGAGGTAAACACGTGCGTTGCTGAGCAGATGTTGTGGCGTTCGCTGCACCATCTAGCGGGACTCATAAGTCAAGGTACCACTGTATTAAGAAATCTACTTCACCTATTCTTTTGTATAGTGTCCCACCTGATGAGTGGAGATCTGACTCCTCCATCAGGCTGTAAGAAATTGTAGCTTCTGTCCCATCTGAAACACAATGACCAATGTCTGAGAAGGGACATGAGCAAGATTTTTTTATTGCCTGCTGGTGGAGTTAGGTCCTCTATGAAAATATGTTTAGCCACAGTTAATGGCCAGCACAAGTTTTCCCAGTATTCTGGTTGGAGACTTTTAATGACTAAGTGCAGTTATTAAGTGACAGACTAGGGATCTCAGAACCTCTAGACCACAGGTTTGAATCCTTGGCACTTCTTGGAATAAATGAAAATTAGAAACTGCTGTTTCCAGTTTTTTTCTTAATTGCCCATCAGTGACTAATTTTCTACCTAAATAAATTTTTATTTTTATTTCAATTTCAGAGAAATATACATATTGTGACTGAATGGATCACTAATGAAGTGAGCTCCACCAAGGTTCGAAGAGCCCTCAGGAGAGGAGATAGTGTGAAATATTTAGTTCAAGATTCGGTCATAGAGTATATCTACAAAAATGCCCTCTACAACACACACAACAAGTGAGTGTGGCTGCACATAGGCTTATATACTTTTTGTACTATGCTATTTATATATGTTGAGACTACTTTTAAATTACATTTTTATCTAAATGGGAAGAGGATTTATTCATTTTTACTAACACTTTGCTATTGCCATACCCTATTTTGATTTTTGTTACACTATTATCTCAAATTGCATGTCAGTATTTTTGTACGTGAATTCTGTAAAACCTTGTACAGTGTTCTAGTTTTCATTTAGATAAATGCAGCAGCGAGGAGACGGTTGGAGGCAGTGGAGATGTCCTGTCTAAGGGCAATGTGTGGTGTAAATATTATGCAGAAAATTCGGAGTGTGGAAATTAGGAGAAGGTGTGGAGTTAATAAAAGCATTAGTCAGAGGGCAGAAGAGGGGTTGTTGAGGTGGTTTGGTCATTTAGAGAGAATGGATCAAAGTAGAATGACATGGAAAGCATATAAATCTATAGGGGAAGGAAGGAGGGGTAGGGGTCGTCCTCGAAAGGGTTGGAAAGATGGGGTAAAGGAGGTTTTGTGGGCGAGGGGCTTGGACTTCCAGCAAGCGTGCATGAGTGTGTTAGATAGGAGTGAATGGAGATGAATGATACTTGGGACCTGACGATCTGTTGGAGTGTGAGCAGGGTAATATTTAGTGAAGGGATTCAGGGAAACCGGTTATTTTCATATAGTCGGACTTGAGTCCTGGAAATGGGAAGTACAATGCCTGCACTTTAAAGGAGGGGTTTGGGATATTGGCAGTTTGGAGGGATATGTTGTGTACGTATCTTTATACTTATATGCTTCTAAACTGTTGTATTCTGAGCACCTCTGCAAAAACAGTGATAACGTGTGAGTGTGGTGAAAGTGTTGAATAATGATGAAAGTATTTTCTTTTTGGGGATTTCCTTTCTTTTTTGGGTCACCCTGCCTCGGTGGGAGACGGCCGACTTGTTGAAAAAAAAAAAAAATGTGTGTTGAGAGTGCTTTTTTTAATTAAATTTATTACCTTTGTCTAAAGAATGGGGAGTGCAAAAAGACAGACAGTTAGAGAATGGTGAGGTTCTTATGGGCAAATGGGCAAATAATAAGCAGTTTTGAAGTATGACTAATAAGTTGAGAAAGCCTGGGGAACAAATTGACTTGGCAGTTAAAAAAAAAAATGGAAGAGAAGAGATGTTAGAAGGGAAAGTGGAGGTACTGGGAAGATGTAAGGTATATTTTCAGTAACTGTTAAATATTGATGAAGGGGAGGCAGTGATTCCATGCATAAGGTGGGGAGAAATAACATCTTACAGGAGTAAGGAAGAGCCAGACACAAGTGTGGGGACAGTGCATGGGGCAAGGGGTAGAATGGAGGGGGGGGGGTGAAGCAGAAGAGACAGATTGATTAAGACAGATGATAAAAGCAGGTGGGGCTATAGCTTTGGAGTGGTTGGTGCATTTGTTCATTATATGTATGATAGAAGAAGGGAAGTGCAGTGCCTGCACTCTAATGGGAGGGGTTTAGGATATTTGCTGTTTAGAGTGACACCTGAACTGTTGTATCAATGTGCTTCTGGCAAGACGGTGATAGTGTGAATAATGGTGAAAGTGTTTTGTTTTTTGGTCACCCTGCCTTGGTGGGAGACACCCAGCATGTTTAAAAACAAAAATGCATGCCTAAAGATTGTTAGAAAATATGCATTGTTCCTTTGTATAAGATAAAAGGGGACAAGAGAGGAAAAGTGCAAGACTTGTATGGAAATTAGTTCAGTTAGGTGGACTTGAATCTTGGAGGTGGGAAGTACAGTGCCTGCACTCTGGAGGGATGGGGATGTTGTGGTTTGGAGGGCCATTTGAATAGTAATGTCAGCACACTTCTGGCAAAAGAATGATTGGTTGAGTGACTGTTTTATGTTGTGCCGTGTCAACCTACCTCGGTGGGGGACGACGGGTGTGCTAAAAGAAAAAAAGTGCTTCGGGAAGAAATCCAAATATTCTTCCTTGAAGCCTTTTTATCGACTTCTCCAAGGCTATGGTTCCCACAATTTACACCAGAGGTGGACCCCATCTATATATAACAAAAAAATGGATAAAGTGTATTTTTTTTTTCAACAAGTCGGCCATCTCCCACCGAGGCAGAGTGACCCAAAAAGAAAGAAAATTCCCAAAAAGAAAATACGTACTTCCATCATCATTCAACACTTTCACCTCACTCACACATAATCACTGTCTTTGCAGAGGCACCCAGATACAACAGTTTAGAAGCATATGTAATATACCCCTCTAAACTGCCAATATCCCAAACCCCTCCTTTAAAGTGCAGGCATTGTACTTCCAAGTCCAGCTATATAAAAATAACCGATTTCCCTGAATCCCTTCATAAATGTTACTTTGCTCACACTCCAACAGCTCGTCAGGTCCCAAAAACCATTCATCTCCATTCACTCCTATCTAACATGCTCACACATGCTTGCTGGAAGTCCAAGCCCCTCGCCCACAAAACCACCTTTACTCCCTCCCTCCAACCTTTTCGAGGACGACCCCTACCCTGCCTTCCTTCCCCTACAGATTTATGCGCTTTCCAAGTCATTCTACTTTGATCCATTCTCTCTAAATGACCAAACCATCTCAACAACCCTTCTTCTGCCCGCTGAGTAATACTTTTAGTAACTCCACACCTCCTCCTAATTACTACACTCAGAATTCTCTGCATAATATTTACACCACATATTGCAACATCTGCCATATTGCTCCCCTATCCACTCTATCATATGCCTTTTCTAAATCAATAAATGCAATGAAAACTTCCCTACCTTTATGTGAATACTGCTCACATACATGCATCAATGTAAACACTTGATCGACACATCCCCTACCCACTCTAAAGCCTCCTTGCTCATCTGCAATCCTACTCTCTGTCTTACCTTTAATTCTTTCAGTAATAACACTACTGTACACTTTTCCTGGTATACTCAGTAAACTTCTTCCCCTATAATTTTTACAATCTCTTTTCTCCCCCTTCCCTTAACATAAAGGGACTATACATGCTCTCTTCCAATCCCCTGGTATCTTACCCTCTTTCATACATTTATTAAACAAAAATACTACCAGCCACTCCAACACTATAACTCCCTCTGCTTTTAACATTTCTCTCATGATCCTGTCAGTTTCAGCGGCTTTACCCTCTTTCAGTCTACATAATGCCTCACGCACCTCCCCCACACTCGCATCCTGCTCTTCTTCACTCTCTGACCAGTGCATGAAATTACAGTCTCTTTCTTCATCGACATTTAAAAGTTCCTCAAAATATTCCCCCATCTACCCATTACCTCTAGCTCCCCATCAACTAATTCCCCTACTCTGTTTTTAACTGACAAATCCATTCTTTCCCTAAGCTTTCTTAACTTGTTTATCTCACTCCAAATTTTTTTCATATTTTCTGCAAAATTTCTTGACAGTGCCTCTCCCACTCTATCATCTGCTCTCCTTTTGCACTCTCTCACCACTCTCTTCACCTTTCCTTTACTCTCCATATACTCTGCTCTTCTTATAACACTTTTTCTGTGTAAAAACCTCTCACAAGCTACTTTTTTCTCTTTTATCACACCCTTTACTTCATCATTCCACCAATCACTCCTCTTTCATCCTGCACCCACCCTCCTATAGCCACAAACTTCTGCCCCACATTCTAATACTGGATTTTTAAAACTATTCCAACCCTCTTCAACCCTATCCCCCCCACTACTCATACTTGCAGTATCCCACCTTTCTTCCAATAGTTGTTTATATCTCACCCTAACTTCCTCCTCCCTTAGTTTGTACACCTTCACTTCTCTCTTACTTGCTGTTGCCATTATCCTTTTGTCTCGTCTACCTCTTACTCTAACTGTAGCTACAACTAAATAATGATCCGATATATCAGTTGCCCCTCTGTAAACACTTACATCCAGAAACCTTCCCATCAACCTTTTATCCACCAATACATACTCGAATAAACTACTTTCATTACATACTATATCATTCCCTGTATACTTATTTATCCTCTTTTTCATATGTATTACTTATTACCAAATCTCTTTCTACATATAGCTCAATTAAACACTCCCCATTTTCATTTGCCCCTGGCATCCCAAATTTACTTACTACTCCCTCCACAACATTTTTACCCACTTAAGCATTGAGGTCCCCAACCACAATTACTCCCCATGCACTCACTCAACATTTCCCAAAATCTCTCTCTCTCTCTCTCTCTCTACACTTCTCTCTTCTCCAGGTGCAGAGATGCTTACTAAACCCACTTTTCACATCCAACCCTTATTTTACACCACATAATCCTTGAATTTATACATTTATATTCCCTCTTTTCCTGCCATAACTTATCCTTCAATGTTATTGCTATGCCTTCTTTAGGTCTAACTCTATTTGAAATTTGAAACCCCTGACCTAATCCCATTTATTTCTTTCCACTGAAACTCTCCCACCCCCTTCAGATTTGTTTCACTTAAATCCAGGACATCCAGCTTCTTTTTATTCATAACATCCCCAATCATCTCTTTCTTATCATTTGCACAACATCCACGCACATTCAAACATCCCACTTTGACGGTTTTCTTTTTTTTTCTTTTTAGTAGGCTATACGGGAAAAGGGGTTACTAGCCCATTGCTCCCGGCATTTTAGTTGACTTTTACAACACGCATGTCTTACGGAGGAAAGATTCTTATTCCACTTCCCCATGGATATGAAAGGAAAAGTAATAAGAACAAGAACTTCTTTCTTTCTTTCAACGTACCAGCCGTATCCCACCGAGGTGGGGTGGCCCAAAAGAAAAAAGAAAAGTTTCTCCTTTTAAATTTAGTAATACTTACAGGAGAAGGGTTACTAGCCCCTTGCTCCCGGCATTTTAGTTGCCTCTTACGACACGCATGGCTTACGGAGGAAGAATTCTGTTCCACTTTCCCATGGAGATAAGAGGAAATAAACAAGAACAAGAACTAGAAAGAAAATAAAAGAAAACCCAGAGGGG